CGAACGAATTTTAACATTCGCAGAAATTGAAAGTGTCTTAATTTTTTAACCGTGTGGTTCTTTATTCCTCGAAAGCAGGAACCTTTTGTATTAAATAGAAAATATATTTCTAGGGATTAGGGGGCTAGGATTAAAAGAACAAATCGCTTCTTAGAACTTGATTTTCTTTCAACCAAAGTCTAGCGGTAGCTTGAGCCGGAACTGTCATGCATTAGGGTACGTTTTGTTGTGTTTGTAATGTTTACGGTCTTCATTCACTGAAATAGTAAATACCTTTATAGCTCGGAAACAGGGCCAATAAATAACGCAAAGTTATGTGTAGATAATTCGATTCATTGCGTCTGCAAGAGGCCATTCTTGACGGCATGACGGGTAATTTAATTTCCAGTATCTTTCTTTTTATCTTCTGTCATCCCACATGATCGGAAATCTTATAAGTAATATATATATATATACTAGAAAGTCTTGTGGCCCATTCAATACACCTGTTACTACTTGGAAACTATCAATGACTACATATCTGAGCCTCTGACCTTTTTAGTAAATGATTCCTGTACAAGAGGTAATTTTCCCGATAAATTTAAATGAGCACGGGTTCAGCATTGTCTTCCATGAAAGGCTCTTTAAAACATGATAAAGGCGATTAAAGACCCATTTCTGATTCGTCTCCAGTTTAAGCAAATGATTTTAAAAAGCTTTGTATCATCGTCTCTATAGTTATCTGGAGAAATTAAAAATAAACTTAATCCAATTCAGCTTGGGTTTCAGGGACAAATGTTTGACTACTTCTATCACTTCACTAGTCGACAGTCTATTGATAATACTGAATTTGGCCGTGGTATATTTGTAGATCTCAAAAAAAGCTTCTAACTGAAATCTTATTCAACCAAAGGGAGCAATGTTTTAATGGTCATAACTCAGTTTATTCACCGATGACCTGAGTTATTCCACAAGGATCCATTCTAGGATCCCTTTTATTTCTGTTAGTGCGTAAATGATTTGCCTAATACTTCTAGCTTATACTTTACATTTTTTTCGGCCGATGATTCTAACCTTTGTTTTTGTAGCAAAAAACGTAGCCACCTTGAAAAACACTAAATTAAGAAACTTCAATCTGTTGCTGAATGCCTGGATAGCCATCGTACTCGAACAATAATGTAGTTAAATAGAAACGTTTATAACTGTAAACAACTAGCTAAAAAGGCTGTAACTTAGCACAGCTAGCTAAAATTTTGTGAGAAAATAAACTCAATTGAATTGATTGTAATCCATTAACAATCAGTATCTTTAAAACTGCGTTATTCTTTTCCATTTCAATAAACTTAAGCCTCATCAGTCTTTTTGTATTGAAATTGAGGATGTTCCTATTAGACAAGTTGACTGTGTTAAGTACTTAGGCATAACATTTGATTCCAGCTTAGCCGTGAAAAAGTCATATTGATGAGTTTTGTTTCGCTAATTCAATCTGTATTATATGTAAAATCAAGCTGAGTGAAATAAATCATTTTTGTCTTGTGTTGCCTCTTTAGTCGAACTTTTCTCTTTATTCGACACCACCGTGAGCTGCATGCCTCGGTATGATATTCTTTCAGGGGCTTTCTATTGCCCAGGAACTGGTACTTATTGCGTACATCATTAAATCACGCGAATTATCATGCAGTAAAATCGATTCCCCACTCCTCTTTTCTGTAGGATCTATTGCTAGAATAGAATAACATGCTTCTTTGAAATACCTCACTAGCAGTATCGACTGAATTGCTAAGGTTTTCAACAATTTTGTTTAAAAAGTTTTTAAACAGCTCTGTCCTTCTTTGCTGTAACGTAACAAGGCCTGAACGTGACAGGGCATCTGAGTAGTGCACTTTATTACCAAACATTATCTCAGAGCCCGTTTTAATTGTATTCTTTCGAAAGTTAAGTTTAGATAATGTGGAAAGCTAAATTTAAAACCCTGACAGCCAAAGAGAAAAACTGACTGAATGCAAACTAAATAGAACTGAACCAGTTCTTCAGGTGGTACTTTTGCACGCTTTAGTTGCTCTAAAAAATTCTTAACAAATCGACTATAATTTTCCATGGTCTACACTCTTCTAGACCATAGAAATGACGTCATAAAATGTTCAAAAGTTTTAAACATTTTACGGCGTCATTTCTATTGTCTATAAGAGTGTAGACCATGGAGAATTGTGGTCGATTTGCTTTTTACAATAATTTTTTTTTTTTTACCAAAAACCAAAAACAAAACCATCGGCACTGCGTGACATGTTACGTCATTTCCATGGTTTATACTCTCATAGACCATAGCTCTCGACCAATCAGCGCGCGAGGATTCGCTAACTTATTATAAAAAAATCGTTTGGTAGCTTTTTTGTCATTTCTGTTACTATAATAATCATAACTATAACAAAATTGTCAAATCTGATTGGCTATCAACTGCCCTGATTTCAGCCTTAATTGGACAGTTTAATAGGACAGTACGCGTCATGCCTAAGTAATTTATGATTAATTGGTAACAGAACTTCGTGTCGTCCAATTCGGTCTGTAATCATACTCGTGATTAAACAAATCGGACTCCCGCTACGCGGTCGTCCGATTTCGTTAATCACTCGTATGATTACAGACCGAATTGGACTCCACTCACTCCTGTTACCATTACAAGTCTACTAATTTAACTACCTGTACTGTATGAATTTCACAACCATCGATTTCTACAAGTTCATGGTTTTTTGGAGAGCGTGCAAAGGTTATCTTTAGTTCATTGCACTTACAGGAATGGAGTTGAACCATGTTTTTAGTAGACCATGCAGACCCTCATTAAGGATGGACTGCGCATGACTAGCCCTTTTATTTTCCACTACCTTGTAGACTTCAGTATCGTCCACGTACTTGAAAAGACCGCTTGAAGTATCTTCACTAAACAGAGACGGGGGAGCGTTTTGAAACGTGGCGGGGGGGGCTCATCTTCCACTCAGCTATACGCATGCCCCTACTCTGGGTCACCTGCTTTAGAGGCAACAACTGCACTAAGCTATTTAAAACACTGTTCAAGTGAGAGAGTAGAGACCTTGTGACCCGATGTGCAAACAGAAAGGGGCGAAAAGTGTTGTTGTGGTTGTAGAAGAGCTTGGTTGATGTCGTTTGCGAGACATGTCATCGGTAATTGGCTTGTTGGTTTACTAAATAGCTTGTTACATGTTCCAGACGTAGTTAATCGATAGAAATTGATAGTATAATCGCTAAAAAATCATTATCGATTTTTACCAGGAAATCATCGCCCTTGATCGAAGTCACAAATTTTCTTTACCGATATCGGAAATCGATATTCATCGATTATCGATATCGATTACTATCGATAATTTTCAATTATCGGTTTTTTGATTAATCTAAGTCGGGTATGATAGGAGGGTAAACAATAGAAATGAGGAGGAGGAGGAGAGCAACAATAAAATTGAGCAGGAAGAGGAGGGAACACATGGAAATGTGGTGGTGGAGGAAGAAAACAATAGAAATGTAGAGATGCAAATTCAAAAAGGGACGAGAGTGGTGGTAGAACGCACTAGTTTGCCTTCGCGCTTCATTAGATATACACGACTTTCTCGCTAAGAATCGGTGCACAGGAACTTTAACAATGACAGCGGCAGGAAATGGAACGTGCATAATTACGTTACGGCTCAATGATTTTAAGGCACAGGCAAGTTTGAGTTTATTCCTTAGACATCATCCATCTAAAAATAACCAAAACCAGTTCAACAAAACAAGAACATGACAAACAGGTTATAACCAGTCTAGGCTACGTTATTCTATTGCTCCTATTGTATAAGAAACATAAAAGATGGCAGATAATGAGAATCCACCGTATTTTATTCGTGAGTTAAAAGACAAAACGCTATGACGTCATCCGCGTTAATGTATTCCCCCGCATGAAAGGGGGTTAATTTGGTGCCTATACCACTACTTGTGGCCAAACTTTTCTGGGCTGGGGGGGTTATCTTTAAAGAGAGATCTTAACATAGGGATAACCTTATGATCCTCCTGTAAACAGTGTACGTATGTATGAGTATGTATGAAACATCCCTTTGTTCTAGACGTTCTTTGTATATATGTATTCATGTCCTACATTTACATTCGAGAATGAAATCGCAAATGTGAAACTAAAGCAGATTGTTCTTTTTGCGCTTACTCCNTAACAATGACAGCGGCAGGAAATGGAACGTGCATAATTACGTTACGGCTCAATGATTTTAAGGCACAGGCAAGTTTGAGTTTATTCCTTAGACATCATCCATCTAAAAATAACCAAAACCAGTTCAACAAAACAAGAACATGACAAACAGGTTATAACCAGTCTAGGCTACGTTATTCTATTGCTCCTATTGTATAAGAAACATAAAAGATGGCAGATAATGAGAATCCACCGTATTTTATTCGTGAGTTAAAAGACAAAACGCTATGACGTCATCCGCGTTAATGTATTCCCCCGCATGAAAGGGGGTTAATTTGGTGCCTATACCACTACTTGTGGCCAAACTTTTCTGGGCTGGGGGGGTTATCTTTAAAGAGAGATCTTAACATAGGGATAACCTTATGATCCTCCTGTAAACAGTGTACGTATGTATGAGTATGTATGAAACATCCCTTTGTTCTAGACGTTCTTTGTATATATGTATTCATGTCCTACATTTACATTCGAGAATGAAATCGCAAATGTGAAACTAAAGCAGATTGTTCTTTTTGCGCTTACTCCCTCAAGGTCTTTTATTCATTTTCAGAATCGCCTTTTCGATTCACATCTCAATCAAGACCATGGCGGACAGCACCCATGAGGAGTTACTTCCGCGCCCAATACAAGAGGAGGGTCAACAGAAAACGGCTGAGAAATTTCAAATGCTGGCAGAATTTCTGCAGAAAAATCGGGATGTGTTAACAAACCTTCTCCAGACACAGGGACGTGGAATGCGGAGAGAAGCAAATTTCACCTTATCACCAGTGCCTTAGCAGCTATGGCACGCGGAAGCTGGTCTTGGATCAGGTTTTGGATCTTTTTTCTGTGGACAGCCTTCACTGATGGACTCAAGACTATGAAAGAAATACCGAAAGAAAGCCGCGCGCAGTTTGACAAGATGAAAAAGTATCTGGGGGAAGTAAAGTGGAACCACGAGAGGGTGCTTCATGACACGACAAAAATGCAAGAGAAGGTATTGCTGGTATTTTTGTTTTTTTCTGTTTTACTTGTAGGTTACAGTAAAAACATTATGGAAAAAATAGCTAACGAATTTGTGTGAGTAATCAAATGGACAAGTGAAATTAGGGAATACTTTCATATAAGAATTTGGACAGAACACAAGTTAAATTATTCCTCCAGTTTCACTAGTACAATTGTATACCATTTGATTACAGTTTGAATACTATGGTCAAAAAATGTATACGCTCACAAAACGGGGGATTTTGGCACCGTAGAAAAAAACACGATCATAACAATATCGCTATTTCACGTGTAAATTTATAAATTAAGGCTGAAACTTCCCGGCAAAATTAAGGAGTGATTTGTTGCCCATGATATTATTTATACATTTATTCATCTATTAGTCAATTGATTAATTTGAACACCTGGTAGAATAAAGTCCTTGTCGGAGCTGAGGTTATCATTACGACAAGCGTTAAGTTATTTTACGTATAAGAATCATTAAATGAAAGCGCATACTAGTACGATATTGGATAGAATTTTACTGCAAAATATTTAAAAGTTCATTGTTAGGCTTTATAGTACTAGATTTGAGCAATCCTAGCGGATATATAAAATAAAAGCACTTCTACGACTCCAAACCGTCCACACGAATGAGCGTGAAAGGAAACCATAACTCGGAGCGAGCTACTTCAATGGGGAAGGGGATGGCCTTTGTCACGGCCTTTTTACGGACCCGTTTATTTTAAAATGCATTTTAGAACACTTTTTCACGCGAAAATGAAAGCTCCGTTCCTTCTATTAACGCATTAAGTATAAGATAGAAAAACGGAAACCTAAACGTCCTTAAAAGGTCAAACATTTTAACGTCTGAAGCTGGGTTTTGTCGAATGGTTTGTGGGACTTTTTAGAGCCAAGATCGTTCTAAAAATAAACTAATTGGAGAAAGTGCCTTGAGACGAGTACAGGGAAGTTGCTCTCTCGAGGTAATGGGCTCCTGGTGTTAACATTATTATGGCCACAGCCTCAACAAAAACAACAACTACTTTATTAACATTTCTCTTATCTTTTTTAGTTACATTGTATAAATATTCTTTAAAACACATATCTGCTTTTTTTTTGGAAAAATTTAAGGTAACAAAAAATATAAGTATAAAAGAAGGAAGTGCCTAGAGCCTAAATGAACCGCGAGGTTTTCGAGCTAGTCTCTAGACTTATAAATATTTTTGTGTGTGTGTGTAGTTAGACTCTCAAACAAAAACACACAAGCAACGGAATAAAATAAATAAATAAGGAACCATAAGAAAAGACCAGTAAAGGCAAAGTAAAAGAGGGAAAAAAAAAGAAAAAGAATAGAAAGGAAATGCAAGTGTACAGCACAGCGTAAGGTAGAAGCATAGAGGATATATTAACGCGCGAATAAACGAAGAGGAGGTAACTAAATAATTGGTGTTAGATGTCAGAAGAAGCATATTACTTAATTAACAAGTGTTATTAAAAAGAGCAGCACATAGTTGTTTGAAGTCAAAGGGTAGTTCCTTCCAGAGGTCTTGTTCGATGCAGATATCGTTTGTTTACCAGTATTTGCTCTAAAGCAGGTCATATTGATATTAATAGATTGTCTTTTGAAGCATATCTAGTGTTAAAGGAGTGGATGTTTCTAATGTATTGAAAGCAACTGTGAAAGATTGATCGGAGCTCTTGTTGGTGCCATTTAAGGGAAAATTTTAATGTTTGAATTTCACTAATATGTTCTACAGTTAGAATGTCACGATCGAAAGATTTATTAATGGACAAGGAGCTTTCTGTATGTTTCCCTTACAAAGTGGAAAAAATATTATCCTTGTAATGTGGTTTTGTTTGACCTGGATAATCTTTATACTGGACTTGTAGGCACTGCCCCAAACAATGATAGCATAACCGTGAGATAGGAATAGATTAGGTTATAGTATTGCCCTAGTTGAAATGGAGAGAAGTAGTGACGAAGCTTGAAGAAAATTCTAGAATTTTTAAATATACGTCAAGAAAAAAAAAGAAATGTGGTACTTCCTGCTTATTTTATCATCTATCATGACGCCAAGGTATTTGACGTGGTCGTTCTTTTCAAGAGAAGAAATGGTGCGCTCATTGGTTGGCAAGATTACGATTATGATTAAGATCATTTTTTATGGGCTGACTTAATTAACATGAAGTTTGTTTTCTTAGGGTTTATAGAGACCTTATTAAGAAACGGTCCAGATAAGAACGATAGCAACAACGGCAACGAACATGTTGGAATGCAAAAAAGGTGCTAACTTTTCTATTGTCTGTACTTACTTCTGATTGGCTTTAACAGCAAAAGTTAACAAAACTTCATAAAGCGGTACATATATTCATCGTTACTTTCCAACCATCTTCGATATAACAAAATCTGGTCTCAGTTTTAATAACAAAGAAATCCTATCCTGGGTAACATGTAAAATTGTAAACTTTTCTTGGCTATTGTTTTCAACTCTTGTGATTGGTTAAAATCTTTTAACACAAAAAAACACCCTTTCAAAGTGGAGTGTAAATGCATTTTATTGCGTAAACGGCCTTCATGTAGGTTTATGCATTCTCTGTGCAAAAATGAGAACATTTCTATGTGGGGAAAGCACCGTTGCCGCATAACAAAAGAAATTGCCATCCACCTTACCCGGATCATTACTTAACGTCGCACCAATTCTTTACTTTTTTTGTCTTGATTCATGGTAGTCTTAAGTTCTTTCGGATTTAGAAATGAAGGAAAGACGCTAGTGTCGTCTGTAAATAGCCGGAAAGAGATTTTATTTGAAGAACTAATGATATCATTTCAACAGTGATCGATACTCGCCCCTCTTTCATTTCCATGGAAGAAGGTAACTGCTTCTACAGTTTTCTTAGAAGTCTGAAAACTTTGACGATCTTTGGAGTATTAGTGGAATCTAAAAATTTGTTTTTACAAAGTTACTTTTGTTATTCCCTGTATGGGGAAACTCAGTTAAATCAAACATACGTAACTCTGAGCTGCAATTAGTAAAGAATTTCGCTGCCAGGATCGTAATTTGATCATGCTTCTGAGGGGGGCGTATTTTCTAAAATGGCTGAATGTTTCCGAGAAGATTTTATTCAATGATTTAGTTTCAGTTTTTAAATGTCTAAATCGGTCTAGCACAAGAAGGTCTGGAAACTTGAGACTTCCACGCTGCCGGTTGTCTTGTCGAGGCTTTTACTTTCGCGGGCCTAGACGCTGGAATGACCTGCTAAAGGACCTTCAGAGCATTAAAGGTATCAAGTTTTTTAAGAAAAGATTATTTAATCGTATATTTAATGAATAGATTGCAAAAGCAGGAATTTCTTTATATAATTTATTGTTTAACAGTGTATTCTAATGAATACACTAGACAGCTTAGCTTTTTAGATTTTAGATTTTATTTAAATCTGCAAATTTCATGTAGTTAATTGTCTGAAAAGCCCTGTAAAGGGAGACTCAATAAAAAGTCTGCATCAGTATGTGAGAGAGCAGGCGGGTCAGTCAATCAATTAATCAATCAAAAATTTTATTTGACTTCGAATTTCAAAAGATAGCATAAACCTATGCTAATATCTCAGAAGGAAAAGCAAAATAAATAGAAAATAAATGAGAATGGTAATTAGAATAAAGTAATACTATATAATTATTATGTACAAATTTACAACAAATGTAAGATAACGTAGACAAGAAAAATATTATCTACATTGTGACTACAGTAACTAGTGATAATTGAAACTGATTACAAAAGGAGCAGCATTTATTATCAAAGCTAATGCTCTTAATTTTTTATTTGAAAACATGTAATGACTCAGCAGTTCTAAGTACCTCTGGGAGCATATTCCAATATTTGCTGGCAGAGTAATGAAAGGAGTGCAACCATATTTGGTCGATTGAACTCTAGGAATACTAAGAGAGTGTTTACCATGCAAATTGTAAGAAGAATTTCTTTCTATCAGTGGCTCGTTAATATAACTAGGTGAATGATAAATTTCAATTTGCCCCATCCTCTCTCCTCTTTAGAGGCTCCCGCTGGGTATTCCAACAAAATAAAAATGAGTGACAAAAATATAGATAAGCGCGCGGTGGACGATGGGAAGAGAGGAAAGGTCTCTGCTTCCTTTCTTTTTCCCTTCCCATCCTTCCCTGCGCTCTTTTAGGTTTCCCCTTTCTACCGCCTCTGACGAGGCTGAGGAGGAGAGAGTGCCCCGTCATTTTTCCAAATGGCGATAAACGAAGAGAAAAATAACATGCAGGCTTTATTAGGCCAATAGTTTAACCCTTTAATTTTTTTTTCAAAGATATTTATCAGTAATGATTAACACCTCATACTCTTTCTTTCTTTGAAAATTATGTAGATCCAGACTGCTGTTAAAAGAAACTACAGAATCTCGCGTAACGATGACCTGGAAATAGAAATGGGACTTATCAATTGCACATGTGTTCTGGGTACATGCCAAGATGCTCTGATGTATTTAAGGGCTGACATCTCTGATCTGCAAGATGGAGTAAAACGAACCCCTACTCATATTCTTAAGCAAGTGGTCATCATTATTAGTTTACTCATCGCATCTGATTTAACTGCTGGCTGTAAGTTCAATTTGTTCCCTTGTAGACGTTTTTAAGACTTGGGACATTCTAACCCTTCGTAAGCTTTAAAGGTACGGAGTAAGGTGCCAGAGGATCAGGAGTTTTATTATTCATTCAAAATATATTTACGCCTCTGATTTGCTCAAATCGTCCTGTTATTTATCAACGGAACATTACAATTTAAAATAAAGGATAGCTTGCAATACAATACCATTATAACACGTTGAAATAAAAACGGGAAAAAGTGAAGGTTAAAAGCATATGAACACAAAAAGCATTGAAACTGTTATTTATGCGTGTTACCTTTTGGAAGACGATTGCAATATCCGGGAACGAAAAGGCGTGAATATATATACGCCAGAAAAATGCAAAGCAACCGAGGAGACCTGGGGACCGATGACAACTGCTATTTCAAGAATATCTACAAGACTAAGCACTTGTTATACTTATATCCTGGATTTGCCTAGGAACAGGCAAATGGAGACGGGGACTTAATATTGATCGAGGTTAAAATGTTTTAGCTTATTTTTCATTAAGTATGAAACATTTTGAATGAATAATAAAACAATTATTCCGTGAGGTCCAAAGTGCAGAATCTATCATTTGTGGCCTGGAATAGGGTAAGGCCAGTAGCATCTAATTTAGAACCGCTATTCGTGGTAGTGGCAAGATGAAGCACTACCGAAATGTTGACGCAAATCTATACAGAATTTAGTAAAATCCAACTAGTAGTCTATTATCAATGAGGCGTTCTGATTGGTTGAGCTACTACTAGGCTATATGTCATAGCCCACTAATAGCGAAAAGCGCCGGCTTTTTGGCGGCAAAAAAGGATCAAAGGTTAATTTTAAGCTAAACTTTTTTTATTCTCGATATTTTTGACCAACTAGTTGGATTTTACTAAAACTTTTATTCCTCTCGCCCTTTGGTCTCATGCCCTCATGGCCTCTGAGTCAATAGTATAATATACTATAATATAATATTCCTCAGAGCCCATTCGGGCTCGAGGAATAATTGTTAAATACCTATTCTAAAGTAGCCTGTGTACTTGGCGGAATTCACTGTTTTTGCGCGTACGTTGCAAGAGCTTTGGTAGCGAAACCACCATGACTCGCAGCTCTTCTGCCAAAACTTTGCCCGCGCTAATGATCCTGCCGGCTACGCAAACTACTAACAAAGTAGGTAGATGGAAACATGTATCATTGGTAATGGTCCGCTCTTAGATAGGGCAGCAGATTTTCGGTCAGGTCAACTGAACCAAAGTAACAAAGTCTTATTTTTTTTACCCAAACTCATTTACTGTATGCCTGAAATCATCACAGTACCTTTAGTTTGAAGACAATACCTCCAGTGTTAGTCGTATAAACATAACAACTTTCTTTAATTTTCCAGACATGTTTCGACGGTACATCTGTCATCTTCAGTGTTACATATTTTGAAATCGCCGTTGAATTTAAAGCGCGTTCGATCTTACAGAGTTCGTTACATTGCGTTGTCAATATTGCGTACTAAAACAAAATTAAATGAGTGACGCTTAGTTCTTTACAGGGAGAGAGTCAGGTTAATGTGTTACACCTGCTGGTTGAGATCGGGCTTCTCCCATTTTATAAACAGGGATTCCTTAAGCTTCACTTGGTACTTAGTGGCTGCAGAGTCTAGGATCTCGAAGCAATCCGGTGTGCAGGATGCTCTACAAAACTCTGAACCCTGCAGATGTTTAAAAACGTTCGAAGACCTGTCTGAAAGTAAGTGCTCGCGCACTCGTGTGGAGAAGTGTCGGCTGGTTTCACCAACATAACAAGCATTACAACTTGCACACGAAAATTTATAGACCACACGCGTGCGTAGCCCCTCAGGGACAGCATCTTTCACATTAAAAAGATTCCTGACTTTGAAAGTAGTAAAGACTAACCTTAAATCAATAGGTTTACATAACCGGTTAGCAAGTTTGCGTATACTCCTCTGTGCCGTGACTGAGAAGTGCCCAACGTAAGGGATTTTGAAGAAGAACTTAGGCGTTTCCTGGGGCTCGACTCCTGAATAAGGCTGTGTTTTCCCTCCCTTGACTGCTGTCTGAATATATTTAGAAATATATTTGTTGATAAGGTTTTCAGGGAAGAGATTCCTCCGCAGAATGACAGACAATTTTTGAAGGTCAGTATGGAACCCCATCCAAGTGTTGTTTATCTTAAAAGTTCTATGAATCAAGGTTTTGATTAACCCCAATTTGTAGGTAAAGGGGCAAAAACTCAGATAACTGGTGAGCAGACCTGTGAAAATCTTTTTCCGGTAAACGCTGGTTACACAAACTTGCTAACCGGTTATGTAAACCTATTGATGTCAATAAGAAAAATCGCATTTTCAGACCGCACAGAGTGTTTGAATTTGATAGTCTGATGAGACTGTTCTTTTTCCTCTCATTGAATCTAGCTCACTTGACAGTCTGCTCAATGATCGTCGCTGTTATACTATTCATTTGCAAGCGAAATGTCCAGGGTTACTTCACCGACAAGCCATTGTTGACCAAATGCGAAGATTTTCGGAAGAACGAGCTACGGGAGGCTGAGAAGTTGCACAAACAGCTGAAACGAGATGTGGAGTTTAAAGTTCCCATGCAGAAGAAAACACTGGCCGTGTTGGATATTGAGGTGTCGCTGTTTCATCCCCATTCTGAGTGATGCGGAGTGAGTTGATGAGGTGCTCTTCGTCCTGGAGTATAAAACGCTAACAAGAACAGTAGCTTTAATTTAGGGCGTGTCGTGTAAACGTACCGAGCATTTGTTTGTAGTCAGCACGTATAGATATATAGGTACGCCATAGGGACATTCCCTGTAAACAACAAACACGGAATAAGTGGTACTTTCAAATGAGTTAGGTCGATTGCTAGTGGTTGTGTTTAGTTAAGGTCTCGGTAGATTCGAGTCATCTACATCGTAATTAACTAACGCTGCTTGTGATTACCAAGTTTACATTAAGCCTCAGCTTAGTTCAAGCCTCAGCTTATACATAGTGGAGTAAGTACTATCAGACTCTGAGGAAAGATTGACATTTTTACTGATTCAGTAGCACTTTCCATTGTCATGAATGTTATTTTTATTTCTGTCTATTTTTAAAGAAACCATTTTGTTTTATGACCTGGGTCAGTTCAGAGTAAAGAGTTGAACTGAGTTTCAATTAAGTTATGTTAAGAGGTCGAATCGGAATTACTTTCCCCTTGTTTCTGTGGCCGCTTTGTGCTCATCCATCTCAGGCATACGCGCTTTTGTCTATCATAACTCAAGTATTATGGTTGCGACTTTACATTTGACGATGAAGATGTTCTAAACGTTGACGGCCATACAAGGTGGGGCTGTACGTACAATCACCGACAAAATTAGTTGAAACACTTTACCTTAAAGGGCCTTTGTGACATTTTTCTGCGTTCAAAACTAGGGTAAATTGAAGCTTTCCCACCCCAACCCCTCCAAACAATGTGGTGCCGCTGTAACTGCTACTTCTAACGAACAACAAACACCGTGGCCCAACTTTGAATAGAGGGAAGGGGGAGATACAGAATGTTTTGTTCTCCGATGTACCCTATTTGAGGACATTCTCGTAACAATTTGTCGCCGATTGTACTGAGCTTTGTTACTGGTCTTACACCCGCTCTTTAGTGATGACTGTGTTTAGTCGATAGGACCACTAAGACGAATTGGCTGCGCACATAACATGGCCAGGGAACTAGACACTGCAATAACTTTCCTAAGCTGCAAAAGAAAGGCTCAATTTACTGCATATTTAAAGACTGCATAGAACTCAAGTTGTATATGACTGAGCATATCAAACGGTCGAAAAATCAGTTGCAGTTCAGAAGTAAACTAGGACAGCTTGTACACTGAACAGAAACATAAAGAAGAGACAAGTTCAATCTCTCTAAACATACATCATTGATTAAATTGCATTGCCTGATTAATTCATGAACATTATTTTAACTTGATTTTTCCCTTAGTTTATGTTGTTGCTGAAAAAAAAACAATCATTAAAAATATACGTAAAATATAAGTATGCTTGGAAATTTAGAATAAAAATGTTATTGCTAAAAACAATATTATAGGAATGGATGTCACAGCGTCTGGTGTTAAAATATCCCATCATACAGAGCTCGTCACTGAATTTCTATGTAGGATGTCTATATTTTTTTTTGTCGTGTGTAAATGCGGTAAATGAACGTGTAGCTGTTAATCAATTCCTGTGATGTACGTTTCACATTTTAAAGTTATATGTAATGTTACTGATCGAGTCGTCAATACAATAAAATATTTTTGTTGCAAAAAATCAACAAGGTCTTCACTTCCAAGAATTATAAATCGCACGTGTCCACGCAGATTGAAATTCCAAAAACATTCTATCACGAATTCTGCAATTTCGTTAGCGAACGTACTCACTATTTATTGCATTTTAACTTGTGAGTAGAGAACTGGCGTTTTCAACAAAAAAAGCAGCGACAACTTCAATAAATTGTTTTTGCGATGATTCTAAGAAATATGGAAGTAGATAAACCATTTGATGTTGCTATCCCCATAAAATACGGAAGGAACACTTTTAACGGTAAAACTGTATTCAAGAAGATTTCGTGAATTCAAGTTGTCTAATTAAACTTTTTTTGGTACTCTCTATTTCTAAGAGTGTCTATTAACTAATGGAAAACTCTAACTTGTAGAGTTGTTAAAGGGATGCACAGGAAAGGGTGATAGGAGTGTAAGAGTCCCACGAGGTGATGGTTTCTTCGTCATAACCAACCTGCCAAATTTATCCATAACCTACCGTAAAATTCCGAAAATAAGCCCCGGGGCTTATATTTTTCAAAGGCCCTTTTGGAGGGGCTTATTTTTGGAGGGGCTTATATTCAGACAGGATTATCTACGGAGGGAAATTTTCGTTTCAAACTCGATTGGGCTAGCCTTGTACAGTCAACTCTCGCCTTGGGGACACCCCGCTATAACGGACACCCCGATAATACGGACAGCAGCTAAATCCCCAGCAAAAACAAATTACAGACGTTTGACTGAAATAAACTCCCGCTATTACGGACTCTCGCTAATGAGGACACCAACTTGAGGTCCCTACAGTGTCCTCTATAAAGGGAGTTTACTGTAGTTGGAAGGAAATTTGCCGTATTTGCTTTGTTTTACTTTGTATTTGAGGGCAATTTTCTAAGTACAAGCCCCCGGGGGCTTATATTTGGAGGGGCGATTTAACGGAGGGTTTTTTGCGTTACCGGTTTCGGGGGCTTATATTTGGAGGGGCTTATACATGGAGGGGATTATTTTTGGAATTTTACGGTAATACAAAAGAAGCCTTTTAACATTTGTTAACAGGTTAATGTAATTTTAAGTTAAAGTTTGCTTTCTAGAAGTAGGAAGATGATGAGTGTTTTGTCGTGTGGAATTAGGGTGCAAATCATTTATTCCGAAGACTCAGTCTCGTTGAAGAAACCCTCCGCTAAAAAAAAACAATTTTTTGGGTCAATTGGGACTGAAAAATCTTTTTTATGTTATCCTGAATGACTTTTGTACCCTTGCTCTGATTAGATTAAGACGAGACCGCGCGCGGTAGCTCTCATCAGCATTCAACAATGGACGAAAAATAGATGGTTTATTGACCAATAAGAGTGCGCGCTTATTTTTCTGATGATATTAACTTCATTAAAAAAACTCTATCATTGTTGCATTTCTGAGAAAAGCCGGATACCTTTGCTAAAGAAAAACCAGCTTCATCCAGTTAAACTGGTTTCCCAATCAAGGTCACGTGCTCTGTTGGGTGCGGCAATGCTTTCGTCATCTAAACGACAAAACCCATTTCTTCGTACCCTGTTGGAAGCAACTCTTTCTGCATCATTCTTCTATAATAGTAAAACATTTTCCTTTGGAGGAAAAATTTCGTAAACCGGCTAAGGTGAGTTTGCGTGAGATTATTGTATGATGGTCTAACTTGAAGAACACTGTATGCCACGCATACTACTTTCTTCCAACTGGCAACAGATTGACCAACAAATCGCCACTTAAATATAGACAAAAAGTGGTATGTACTCTCAAATCAGACAACCGAGACTATGAAATGAAGATGTGAGTTTAAACTAGACATTAAATAACTATTCCTTGCTACCTCCTTGAAAGCGAGATTAACCACATGAATTTGAAGTCGCGTTTCGTCGTGCCGATTCGTAGTCGCTACGCATTTGCTACTAATCACTTTGAAGTAGAAATTGTGAGTGGCAACGAAGGAAGTTATTTCGTAAGTCGTTACCGAGGCCGCGGTATTCCGAAGAAAAGCGAATTTTTTTTCATTTTCCTTCTTAAAGCTATCAGGTCACAAAAAGCTACAGGAGAAAACATCTCATCGATAGTTTGCATAATTTGAAACTGAAAGTAGTTTGAACAGAGGCAATTTCAGAAGCACAACGCTCTCGCATTTTTCTTACTTTTCCAAATGATTCATTTCCTATGAAAGAGGCGAAAAGTCAAGCGAATCACCTTACGAGAGTTTATAGAGCGAACACTGTTGTTATCAAATATCACTGTGACCATGACAGAGAACGGTGTTATGCTGTCTTCAGCATCAGCTGAAAGACCATTGGCGACAAAACAATTTAATGTTTTCAATCTCTACTGGTTATTACTAAGCGAATCATATATTTCTCCAACCTCTTTACATAGCTTCGTTTCGGTCCTATCGGCGGCCATTGTTGGTAATCGACATCGACAGAATGTTCTCGAATCCAGATAACCTTGGTGAGTTTCTCTTCTGGGCTAGCCAGCCGACAACTTGAAAAATTGAGAAAGACTCGACAAACGACATCTCTTTTTCAACCAAGTAAACCCTTCATTGTTTTCTTTGAAAGTACAAGATAGGAGTTATTTTCTCGTGGCAATTGCTAGCCTCCTACGCAGACGTCCTTAGCGCTTCGTTCGCGCACTATATTGAATCAACTAAGGCGAGTTCGGATGGGATGATTAATACGCAGTACTTCACCTATGAACGATATTCATTCTTTCCTATATTTCAGATATGCATTTTAGCCTGACCCTGTGATTCACAGTCAGATAATGACGGATCAAGCAGCTAGTACAAGAGTAAAATACGTATAGCTGAGCACGGTCCTAGGGCAAAACTCCCTCAGGGAAGTTAAAAGTTTTTAATTAGGCTCTACTGAATTATGCTTATATTTTCGCGTCGTCTGCGGGACGTCGGCTTCCCCCTAATATCTTTTTCTCGGAAAAACATTCTCGAATGAATTTCAATGAGACTATAACTGAACCTAGAGAATAACTTTGCTGAAGTTATTACCAACAAATACTTGTCAGTTTTTTTATGAAAACACTTGCGACAAATAAACATCACCTTATTGACCATATTACCCCAAATCGTTGAATGTCTTGAATTTGTTGGTGGGATTTCCTAATCCCGCTTCAGCCGACAAATGTGGCAGCCCCAGCCCCATTTGAAGAGTAAAAATTGAATGAGATAAAATGCAAATAAAGACGAGGGGAAGGTATTGAACGCAACAGAATGGATTCTTTCTAAATAAAACGGCTCGATTCTAAGGAGCAGACTACAATTGCGTTTAAATATACTTTTCAACGTTTTACGACGAGGGCGGTGAGTACTAGGGATAAATTTCAAGACAATCTGTAAAAGG